CAGGAAGGTGCTTGCAATTGCAGAGGCTTGTGTAATTCGAGTTTATAAACCAGGTCTCTGTGTACAAAAGGAGATGGTCGTTACTCTGAATCTACCACGGTAATACTTCTTACTCTACCTCTTATTATTATTATTTTTATTATTCTTGATTCATTTAGAACTATCCTTTATCAGTAGGATTATCTTAACTCACTTCAACACTATTATTATTATTGTTATTATAACTATTACTATTGACATCCCTCTGTTTGCAATTCTTGATATATTCTCTAGTGACTAATTGTTTATCTAAGTGATGTAACTGAGGCGTCATGCACTTTACCTTAATTTTAATCTCTCATACTGCCTCTCCCCTTATCTATTTGAACATGACTTGGAAAACATTCGCACCTGTCTTTCTGTATGACTAAAAACTTAACCAAACTGCTACAAAAACTTGAACGCACAATTCAATGTAGTTTATTTGCTTATTAGTCTTATATCTCCCAATGTGATTTCAAAAGTATATATGTCCGTGTATGTAGAGTATTCAGCTGACGAGTTCTACCGAAATTTGATGAATTCATTAAATCCTGCTTTATTAACCTTTGTTGTTTGTTTTAAATTCGTAGCGGGAAATTAATGTTCAATGGGAAATTGTAGTATATAATTCAAAGTAAATAGTTTAATACTGCAGTCGTTAATATCAGGACTGCTAAATGAAGTTGAAGTACTTAAACTCTACGAATCACAGTATATAGAAATACCATGGAGATGCGGGTGAAGAGTTTCAGGACTCACCTTTTAGGCAGTAAATACCGACTTTGAATCCCGCTTTACTTACGTCAATCTAAGTAAAACCACCGACTATGATGCGCTAGCTAGTCACGAAGTTAAACTGTCCTTTAGAGATGCATAAATTTTGTTTCACATCTGCAAATCTCTCAGAGCTGAGGAAATCTGTACTTGCTTATGGTCATCTTTATAGGATTATTTGCATACAATTATAACGCCTGAATGAATGAGCGTAGAACTTGTCACAGTAGTGAACCAGTTCAATTTACCACGATTCGAAAAACTACATATAATGGACAACAGAAAGTAGAATAACATTTTAACAGAAAAACATGCGTTTAGCTGGGAAAATACATAAATGACGATCAGGGATGCTTTTCAGGATTAAAGAGGTGGCCAAGGGTGAATATATCTACGCCAGAGTCTGCAACAAATTATTCGCAACATTTCACGGAAACTTCCCAATTCAGGTAACCCACATATCTCAGATCAACAGGCAGTACTTTATAGAGCAATAACAAGGTTTGATTTGCCTATCGCTTTTTCTCAACCTGGTACTACTTCAGTTAACACTGCTTATCGAGGAAGGAGACGGTTTGACATGCATAACATATGTGCCGGTAACCTTAATCTATGAAGCTTTATAACCTCACCGACCAACTTACTTCCCTCATTTACCATTCTATTGTTATCCTCAGTCCTACATTATTGTGGTTATGAGGCTTACTGGCTTAAGTACTCGGCTTTTAGTCCATAAGTATTATTTTCGAATCCCATTTCAATTACTTCAGTCTCGGTCGGTTTTCGACATAGAACTTTGCACATATGTGCGGCAGTTCAAGTCGCCACACTCCATGTAGCACACAAAGCAAAAGAAGAAAGTAGGAGAAATGCATGTTAGAGACAGTAAACAGAGGTGTGAGACAAAGGAATAGTAATAACGGAGAACAAACCAGTTTCATTGGAAATCATAAGTCACAAGGAGTGGATGCATCTGCACCATTGAGAACGATTTCGAGCCATGTCACCAATTGTTTCCAACCATTGGTTTTACCGTCCCGAGGACCCCAACCAGGAAGTCTACATCTTCCTACGTGGCTTAGACTAACTGTTGTGGATTTCATTGACTGGTGCCATGTTTTCGTTCGACCGCCGCTAGCTCTTTTCCAGCCTGACCCTATATCAGCTAACATTGCCCATCGAGGAAGGCGATGACTAGGCATAGGTAACACATGTCCTAGCCATCTCAGTCGATGTAGCTTAACAGCCTCGTCGATTGATTTCCCCTCCTTACCTAGCACTCGATGCCTAACCTCAATATTGCTCACCTTATTATACCACTTCACGCGGGAGATAGAACGCAGACACCTATGATCGAACACAGATAATCTTTTTATGTCTTCTGCTCTTAATGGCCATGTCTCACAGCCATAAAGGAGGACGGAGCGGACTGATAAGCAGTACACACGCCTTTTGGTCGATAGTCGGATATCACGTCTACTAAGCCAGAGATGGCGTAAAGTGGCATATGCGAAACTAGCCGTCTGTGTTCGTGCTGAGATTTCGTCGGAGATCAACCCGTTGGGGCTGATGGTACTTCCCAAGTAAGTGAAGTGGTCAACGTGTTCTACCACTTCACTTCCTATTTCTAATCTAGGAGTCGGTGAAGTCCAATCCTGCAGCATCATCTTACATTTTACAGGGGCGAATCGCATGCCAAACATACGAAAATTGTTGCTCAAGGTGTTCAGAAGACTCTGCATTTTGTCAGCGTCCTCACCTAGAAGGACTATATCGTCCGCATATTCTAAGTCGACGAGATTATTCCCTGGTAGCAAGTCAATCCCTGAGTCGCTGAGGTGTGTTAGGGTTAAGTCCATTAATACGTCTATGCTGAAGTTGAATAGGAATGGGGATAATGGGCATCCCTGACGGACGCCACTAGTCGTCACCACTTCAGATGACAACTCGCCGTAAGCCCTCACCTGGCTGCATGAGTACGAGTAGAGTGCCTTAATCAATGCAATGTATTTTCTTGGCATTCCTTTTACAGCCAAGCATCGCCAGAGAACCTCTCGGTCGACAGAATCGAATGCCACCTTTAGGTCAAGAAATATAGTGATTTTTGGACGCCGGTAGGAATGCCTATGTTCTGGAATCTGTCGAAGGGTGAAGATATGATCAATACACCCTCTTCATGGCCTAAAACCTGCCTGGTTTTCTCGTGTTTGTATTACTTCAGTCTGGACAACCAAGTAGTAGTATCAGCCCTAACATAATAACTGTAGCTTGAAACATAAATTATCTGTTCCAGGTAGCTGAGCGAGTGAACACTTTTACCTACTGTGCCAATTTTCTCGAAATTAAGAAATAACTGATTTTTAAATAAGCTGAGTGACGTAATATAAGTGATGATGCTGAGTAGAATTCAACTAAAATTTGAACGAGTCAAGTTAACAACAGTGGTAATAAGAGGTACAGATTTAATATGGGATAGGACTATCCTCGATATGACGAATTCACCTTATCGCACTGCCCTATGTCTAGTAGACCTACTAGAACTAATCATTAGGCAAGTTCCCTGCCTATGACTCCAAGACTCCTTCGACTTTGTCAACTCCATTGAAAACTCTAATGCTTCTAATCAAACCATGTTCCCACTAGATGTGGTATTACTGCTTACGAACATCCCACTAAATGAAACAATATGCTACATATGCGAAAATATTGATTCAAAGGGGATAAACATTGGTATACTCTCTGACTACTTGAAGGAACTCCTACTGAGATACACTCTTCAATTTTCTTTCAGTAACGAAATATACCGACAAAAAGATGGCATAGCTATGCGCTCACCACTGGGCCCATTGTTTGGAGATTTTTCCGTGTCAAACCTAGAAAACACATATATATGTGCGTCGGTGGCACAGCGGTTAGGACTTCCACCGACCATGTGCATGGTCCGGGGTTCGATCGCGGATGCTGAAAATTCCATACTTGTGTCAAAAACAGTGCGTGGAGCCAAGCAATAATGATAAAAAATAATAAAAATAAAATGGTTGACAGCTTCGGGTATTATAAGAGGTACGAGGACGACATTTTCATTATCTGCAATAACCAGGAGAATTTGGAGGATATCCTGGACTTTTTCAACAGCTGCCATCCTACGATTCAGTTCACATTAGAGGAATCCAACACAAAAATATCTTTTCCGGACGTTCAATTAACAAGACGTGAACAAGACAGAACACTAAAGACATCCATCTATAGAAAGCGGACATTGAACGGACAACTCAAACACTTTTATAGGTGGGTGCCTCTATATCCTGAACGAAACCTGATCCGTTCACTGAGCCATAGACTCCGCAGAATTTGCACCCCTGACAATATGGAGGAGGAGCTGAACACTGAAAAGAATCTTCCCCAAAAATGACTTCCCAGAACGTTTCCTCACGAAATCTATGAAAACTAAACTACTTAAGCTGCCCACACTTTCTGATCCTCAAAATGTCTCTACTTGAGCCTACAAATAAAATGATACTCATCATAAAAAATACTGAGAAACCGTCTGTCCTATTCACTGAAGAAAACCTTCGAGGCTGAACTTCTAATAACTTCCTCTTCGAAACCAACGATTTGCATGAACGTAAAGGATAAGTTGGCCGGCCTCATCAATGCGCATCTACCAATTCACCTGCTCATGTGGAGCTAGGTATGTCGGCCGTACCCAGCGTTTGCTATCCAAACGTATCATCGAACACTTACCCTCATGGTTTTACAAAAGATAAAAAACATCTCGCAGCTCTATCCTGGAACGTCTGATAGGACCTGGACACCAAGATAACCCACAAAGGAACTTCAAAGTTATCCACAGAATACGCGGGAATCTCGCTAAAAGAGTATGAATCAAGCTTCTTCAAACCGCATTAGCGACTCACATGTTAAATCCTGAACTCTGCATACGTAAGAAGTTTGTTCAGCTGTTAAGTCTGCAATGGAGCTGATCTACCTTAACACCAAATACGTAATTTTTGTTTCTTTGTTGTATTATTTTCTTTACCCACCCCCTATTAAATCTGTATCCTTTATTGTCACTGTTGTTAGCTTGACTCTCGTTCAAATTTTAGTTGAATCCTACTCAACCTCGTCAGTTATAACTGACCTTCACTTTTTTCATAAACAGTTTAGCGAATTCCAAATTTTGTAAACACAACTAGGAAACTTACGTGTTTCTTATCGCGGAGGCTCCAGGTAGATTCATTGGCTTTTACTTGGCTAAACAAGTGACCCGATAGTATTGGTTGCTGACCGATAAAGCCGCAAGCAATTCTATTGCTTGTAATTTCGCAAAAAATTTGTTTTGCACTAACAATATGTTGGAATCGGATTTCAATGTAAACTTCTTCAAGCGTCTGCCACCAGTTACCTCATTCAAAATAAACACAAATTGCACCGGAAAATTCCTCGAAATGAACCTGTAAAAGCCATGCCAGTACGAAAACGAGTATGTGAAAAGTAATGAGTTTTGTAACTAGCAGCCACTGAAAGTCATACAGTAATGGTGAGAAAATCTACGTCAAATTATTATTACGCAACTTGTCGGTCCTGTATTGAAATACTTGGTTAATGATCACTTCTGGTCGCAACTAGTATACCTGCTGTTGTCGTCAACAATTATAAACTTAGAACAGTCATTTTAGTTGCCAGCTAAATCAATCAAAAACTCTGCAACAAATTTTTCCTAGGTGAGATATATGTACCGTTAGAGAGATAATTCAACTTGGAGTACATCTTGTAAGACAGAATTCATACGGTGATAACGCGTCACGTTTAGACCGTCAATATGTTTTTTAATAATCCAATATTGCGTCAGTACTTCTTAATTAACACCTGGTTATTTACATATCTAAGTCTTGTAAGGACCCCCCCCCCACAAACAGGAGTATTTCACCCAAGGACTCTCCTTTTACAATCATGACAACACTGAATCAGTTATATGGTAACGATGGCACAGTGGTTAGGACGCTCGCCGATCATGCACATGGTCCGGGGTTCGATACCCAGCTGACGCACACCCGATATTAATGGTTGGCCTGCAAAATTTGGGCTACCGATATCACATGCTGAAAATTCCATACTTGTAACAAAAATACTGTGTGGAGTCAAGCTATAATAATATAAAATATAAAAGGGAAATAATCAATGGACAGATTGCCACTGTCCTCAACCCAGGCGAGTATGAAGGAGTTTCAGGAGTTGTCAGCATTTCTTCCGATAATTATTCTGAACTAATCTTACTGGAGCAGTTGTAGTATTAAGTATTTAAGTTTAACCAGTACTCGTCATCTTTAAGATATGCAAACTTGAGTAAAAGCATTTTATAAACCCTGACTAGAAATTTGTTCAACCTATGGAAACCATCTTAAATGATCCAGTGTAGGATGATGAGAAATTCCAGGCTGATAAACAGGAAAAACATAACTTTGTTATTGAGAAACTTAACAAGATAAGTACATTTTTCGCATTCGCAAGTCCAAAATTTAGGAATGCCTACATCTCGATATAGCTACCACAAGCATCAGAATTTCATGGGGACTCTCAAAAGCACGAAATTATTGAATAATGAGGAAAATGAACATACGAAGAATATCCTACACTAGCAGTTAAATTCCCACCATAACTATTGGTCAGGTTAAACTCTAGATATAGGATAGCGGCACAAATGGCTCATGGAGAGGCTGAGCACTTAAAGGTCACTTATGCTCACTGTGATTGGTAGATTTTCTTTTTCAATTTGAAGTATGCGCTGAAGATGTCACCCAGTAGGGTGATGAAAGCTTCGCAAATTAACTATCCAGCTCAGAGAACACAACAACATCAAAATCATCCACCTGAGCTACAAATCTTCTCTATCATATCTAGATTTTCTTTTGCATAAACGTTGCGGCTAATACGTGTCGTACGTTACTGAGGCGGGCTTAGAAATAACAATAATAAAAGTGAATAGACATTAGACTTTTTAGCTTAAGGGAACAAGTTAACATGTGTATAAATTTCACAGATGTGATAAGCATTTGGTCCACTCACAAGGAGAATATTATTGGGTAACTTAATCAAAGAAGTATAAAGTTTGAAGATTTTATCTCTTTCATTTGGTTGTAACGGATAGATAAGAGTAACTTGTATAATATTTGCTTTTTACAGAAGAGAAAATGGCAACTCTAAACAATAGGAACCCAAAACGAAACGACCTACGAACGCACAAATTACCTTGTCAAGGATCAAGCAGAAGGCTAAAAAAACGACAATAGTCGTCCCAGGCAGCACTAAGCGCTAGACAATAGGCAATAATACACATGCCCTGCGCTTAGGGGTCGCCTCAATATGTCCTTTCTGGAGGCTGGTGTCATATATCCCTAAAACCTATTGCCGGAAAAGTCACCTGATCGGTTGCTCAAGGTCATTTATGCGTTCGTAGGTCGTTTCGTTTTGGGTTCCTATTGCTTAGAGTTGCCGAGAAAATGTGACAGGTGATTTGAAAGCTACACAATTCCTGAAATCTATCGTGGAATATATGGAAGACTAATCTACAGAATTTCTTCAGCTGTGATTTTTCCCTCCCTTGTTCACATATTCTGTGTAGCTAAGATAAGGAATTGTTCACCAGAGGTAAGATGAATTTATCTGATATGTATCCATCCTCAGATCTTTCTCAATACGGTCAAAGGAACACAATGTTAATCTCTGCTTGCAAAGTTCACTTTCTCTGAATGGATCTGGTGGTGACGAAAACTGCAAAGACTGGTCGGGAACGGGAACAAACTGATACAGATGTTGCGGACAGAGTGTTTGTTGGACTTATGATGACTAGTCATCATAGCTATGATGCAGCTATAAAAAACTCTACAACTGTGATTTTTTTCACTGGATTGTTATTCACTCTTTTTAGCGTAGATATGTACTCTTTCATTCTGAGATATTTTTAACTTGATTGACTGTTGTTTCCTTGCAAATATATGCATTTATGTCGACTAACTGTGTCTCTTTTACTTATCATTTTGAGGACATTGCAGAGTTAACGAGAACGTCAGACAAAGTAGTAATACTTATGTGAAATGCGTCAGTCTTAAACTGTTATTATTTCCTCAATGCGTCATTAAGCCTTGCGTAAAGTGTTTCAGTTATGTTTAATCTGGTTGCGTATGATATTAGTATTCACGATTGTTAAGAAAGTGGCCGTCAAACATATGTTCGTAATGTGATAACGAAACATAACCAAGCAAACGTAGGTTCCATGCGTACACGACGTGTTTTGGTGGTCTAGGCACTCCAAGTACACTCTGCAACGCACATCCTATTTATCACAAATAGTGTGTTATTCTTATGTTGCGTTTAACACCACTATCTCAAATGAAATCGTTAGGTAATAAATAGATAACTACATTACTCTTCTTGTGCTATCATTTCGTGCCAATAAGCTCTTACATTATCACATCAACGCTTAGACTCGTGCATTAGTTGACTACGTCACTAGACCTCATTGATTATTTTGCTATCATAAAATACTGTAACTCATTAGATAGGCTTTTGTTGTGCATATCGCCTGTTTAAGGTTTCCTAGCGAAAGCAATTACACAAAAACAATAACAGTACACCATCGTGACCAAATTCAACCACGTGAAAATATGACGTTTTGCGAATATTACGTCTTCTACACTGGCATCACTTCGCGACTCGACAAACAGTAAGTATTAATAGTGTATGAACGGAGTGAAAAATTTTTAAAACAATATTTATTTCGATAAATACATTCGTAGTATCACAAATATTTCATCATTTACACAAACATTACACTTTTTAATCCCATTACAATGTCTAAATGTATTGAGTGATTGAGGAAGTAAAGATCATAATCTGGAATTTAAAAAGGATAAAAATTTAGTGAGATAATGATGAGTTAAATAAATAACTTTAAACACAGTAATTACCAGTTAAACGACCGTCTCTTCATCTTTATCTGACAAAATAACCAACTCAGTTTCCTTTCTTACTGTGAGATTTCGTAAAGATCATGAAATCACAATTACCTCGATATTTAAACACCTCCTCATAATTGACGTAAAATACAGAACAGAAATTGAAATTATTTAGCATTTTCTATCATAATTGATATTTTCCAAAGAATTCTGACATTTCTTATGCACCTCAGCATGTAAATTCCATGAAAAAACAGCATGTTGTCAACACACTGGAAACTACCACTTTTCTCACTTTTGACACGTTTCTTCGTTAAAATACGATAGCCAAGTTAAACTTTAGACACCAATAACTACCAATCAATGAACGACGTCGAATTATCCAGTGAGATTCACGAACGTAGTTGAATGTTGTATAGCGCTTAATTCATTTCAATGCGTGCCCTTACAAGATTACGTTTTCAAATCTAGGAGGAGGCAAAGTTAAACTTTCGACACCAATAACAACCAATCAGCAAACGACCTTGAACGGACCAATCACATGAAAGAGACGTTTATGATAAGCGGAAATGTATATTTATAGAGAATTGCATAAAAAATGATAAAACGGTTACAGTGAGTATGTTTCCCGAACATAGGAGAGAAACATTTCCCAATTCAGTATCGGACTATCAATAGGAAAGTCACACCACATTCTATACATATATTCATCTAAATGGCTGTAAATGAGATCCTTTTGAGATCCATTTATAGCCCTTATTCTATTTTTCAATCGACCCCAAAACCCTTCAATGGAATTTGTATGAGTCCCTGTAACAGGGTCCACGAAATCACTGGAGTGGTTCACTCTGTGATGAATGTATCCCAATGATGACAATGAATCATAGCCTTTCCACTCGTCGGTATGCACAATTGCTCCCGGTTTCACAAGTCGCTTTATAATAGGTACCAGAGTAGTCGCCTTCCTGTCTGCTATTCCTTCAACAAATCCTTTTCGGAGGGACGTGTCGTATAAACCTATGACCCAAATGCTGTTCGCTCTCTGACGACAGTGGTTATATTTCTTCTTCACCAACACTGTCTCGTCCACATAGACTACTACGTCGTCCCCGCTTAACAACGAAGTAATTCTGTCCATTTTCCATGAGGCGATGTCCCTGCAGTGCTGGTATACCAGTGGTATACCAGTGAACTGTTTAGACGAGGCTGTTCTCTGTCTCGGCAGCAGCGGCTCTCACGGGCTGTTTCAGTACCCAGTAATTGCAGATGTACAAAATCCGGGAGAGATGCGACCTAGCATCAAGAAAGTGTGTCCGCGCCATTGGTATTGAATTGTCCAATGAAATTTATTCACATGAGTTGAAGCTTCTATTCCGCTTGATTAGAGATAAATGACTGCTCTGACGCTGTCGCGTTGGCATTTTGGTGGGCATCAAGTCTTCCAGTATTGCTTAGATGTGGAGTTGATTAGGAAAGAAAAGATTTGGGAATGTGGTGTTGTTATGACTATAAAAAGCTTCAGCAGGTATGCTGATGAATACGTTCATCGTCGTGCAGTTTGCTCAATGAGAGCATAGCAGATGGAAAGTCAGGTACTTTAATATCTATTATTACTCAACTGGCTCCTTTACCTCGCTAAGCCAGAAATAATCCTGGTGAAGAGGAGAGGTTGGGCATGAGGCTAGCAACCCCATCCCCATGTTCCACTGGGAAACGTGAAGGAAAAAAATTACTCAACTGGTGAAACGAGGATCTATAATACACACACATGAGTGGAAAGATTATAACTCCTTGTCAGCCCTTGGATGTTTTCGCCACACAGCCGACCATCCAAGGGGTTTTTAGAATCACATTACAGGGACCCACATCAGTTCCATCAAAGGATATTGAGGAAGGTCAAAAACAAGACTAGAGTCATTGGTGAATCTCAAAAGGATGTCGTTTATAGCCATTTATAGATGAGTATATCCAATATCGTCTTTATGAATTAGCGTAAACTAATTTGATTTCTTTGTCCTTGCTTCTTGGTTGTGAGGTAAAGGTTCCGGGTCCTCGTTAAACTTCTGTGTAGTTCGTCCCGCCACTCGACTGTCGTAGCTTTGGTTCACTCCAATAGGAATGATG